CTGCCGGAAAACAGTTTATTCTGACGCTACTTACGTCCTCCCCATGCTTTGAAGATGAACCTGGAATTCTCTTACCTAATGCAATTGTTCAAATGTCCAAAAACAAGCACGTGCCCTGACCTATTGTGAAAGAGACAGGGAGGCATTTTTATTTTCGAAAAGGTCAAATTTTAGGTGAGCGTACAATTTTAAAACAGAAGAATAGATGGAAGTAAATCATGTAGAAGCATAACAACCAATGGTATCCATAGAATCAAACGAAAAAGTTGAAAATTTTCAATTTGGCACACATTTCGGAAGAACGGCGCATAGTTCTTCAACAGCTTTTAGAAAGAAACATGGGTGTTTTTGTGGTGAAAGATTCAGAGTTAACAACCACGCATGTTAATGAAATGGTAATAAACACTCAAAACAACCCACCTATTAGACAAAAGCCCTATAGGATTCCTCTGACTCAAAAGACAATTCTGGATAAACACGTCGATGATATGCTCAAACCAGGTATCATTCGCCGAAGCAACTCCCCCCCATGGCTATCACCTCTAATTGTAGTACCAAAAAGGATGGCTCACATCCAATTTGTGTAGACTTCAGAATATTAAATGTCCTTACCGTGGTACTCGCCCCCGGCATACCTAACCGCCCCCCCCCCCCCCCCCCCCGCATACCTAACGCCGAAGGCATCCTTCATTCTTTAGGACGGTCTAAATTCCGCACCTGTTTGGACTTAAAAGCTGGATTCTGGCAACTTCCGATCAAAGAGGAAGATAAAGAAAAAACTGCTTTTGGGACAGATGCAGGTGTTTTGGAGCACAATTCCATGGCTTTTGGTTCGGCAGGTTCCCAAGCAGTCTCCCAAAATCTGATAAACGCCGTTTTGAGCGATGTCAAACAATTTGCAGTTGCCTTCATCGACGACATTATCGTCCATAGCGCCACCCTCGAGGAACATTTGCAGCATCCTGAGACAGTGTTCGGCCGATTACGACGCGCAAACCTGCACCTCAGAATATCACAGTGCGAATTCCCAGAAGACAAGCTAAATTATTTGGGATAAATAGTATCAAACGAAGGAAATGGCGTGGATCCAAACAACGTCAAAGTCATCAACAACGTGCGACCACCTGGAAACCTTAGGTAAGTCCGAGGAATGGCATCGTATTACAGGAAGTACGTGCCACAGTTCAGCGAAATTGCGAGACACTCGATAGCACTCAAGCGAAAGGACGCGAGATTTGAATGGAGTGATCAAACGCAACACGCATTTGATACCTTCAAGACTCGGTTGGTAGAAGCCCCAATTTTGGCTCTTCCAGACGTCACTCAATCATTTTTGATATTTACAGACGACTTCGCAATACGCTTTAGGCGCGGTGCTGATGCAAAAACAAGAGGATCAAGAGAAAGTGATACGATACATATCTCATCATTTTACTGATGCACAAAAGAAATGGTCGACTATAGAACACGAAGCGTTCGCTATGGTGCACAGCCTACAAAACTTCGCCCTATCATCTAGGAACCAAACTCACAGTCTATACGGACCACAAACCGCTGAAACATGTATTCACAAGCGAAATGCAGAATACTCGAGTACAAAGATGGGCTATCATGATGAGTGGATATGGCTGCGATATCAAGTATATCAGTGATGCTAAAATGTTGCCGCAGATCTTCTCCCGCGACTTCCGAATTCGAAACAGAGAATTTGTCGGATGGTGAAGGGCTAGATTAGCATGACCAACAAGTTGATACTTTAGAAATTAATGTAATTGACAATTCTCAGATACAAAACATGGAAATAAAGGATGCTTCGTATAACGAGCGTGTTGCTATGTCCTGGACAGACACCGAGTCGAGGAATGCCCAAAAAGAAGATCCCTTGTTAGACAAAATCATCCAACAATTACTTGTGAGAGACGATGATAAAGTGAAAGGATATTACATGGCTGATGACCTACTATATTATTAAGCGTCAGGTACTAAAATACGTCCTTTGACCCAAGCTCAACTAGTAGTTCCTGAAAAATTCAAATATGCCGCCATCCTTCGAGAGGCGCATGATGGATACTTTGGAGGACATCTAGGCATCGAAAAGACCACTGTGACAAGGTCACGAAATCATTCCTTTGGCCAGACATTAAAATAAATAAACATATACGTCCAAACTTGCGAAAAGTGTAATATGAAAAGGCTCAAAAAGGAAAAAAGCCCATTACAAGAAATATAAATGCCCAGTACTCCAACGACTGACCTTGGCATAGACTTGACAGGACTACACCCGATCTCGTCAAAAGGAAACGCGTACATCTGTACGGTAGAAAACTTTTCTCGGGATGGCCGGGAGCTTATCCCATTCCTAACAAAAATGCGGATACCATAGCTCAAATACCCCTGGATGAAATCATACCCCGTCATGGATACCCTCGATCAATCCTGAGCGATCAGGGAGCTGGCGCTCATCTTGGAACGCCTCGCTGGGTCGTACGACTTCCAACATTTCTGCACTGCCCGAACTCCCGGTCCATGGCTTACCCGCTGTCAAATACTTTGATTTGCCTTCCGTTGTCGCACTGAGCAGTGCCAGTCCGACGTCCTTCAAATATAGCATGTACGCCTTGGTAATTAGCATTGGTTTTGCCGTCACTGGCTGTTGTGCCATGTGCTATACTTGCCCAGTTATTCGGAGCCTGATCCTGCATCCTACCCGCCGCTCGCGCCGCCCCCATTCCTACTCCCCCGCTGCCCAGACCGATGAGATGACCGAAACCCAGTCAGCACCGGCTGACGAAATACCCTTGGCCCCTGTTGCACCGAAACACGTAGCGTCTCAGTCTACCGTGCCTGAGTCTGCGGTGATCACCGTCGGCGCTACTACTCCCCACGCGAGTGGTTCGCCAGATCATGCCCCGGCCGCCGTGGCTCGTCGCCCCGCGCGACCGCGTGCCACGCCGCGATCTGTTCGACCTGATATGTGAGGTCTACACGTTTGTATATCAGCCCCGTTCCCTGACATTTCTCCCGTGCCAGATGTGCTAGCAATGTATGTGCCGCCGCGCGCCTTACGTTAATGTATGTCTGTCTATCTATCTGTCATTCAGCGTCTGATACATGTGTGCTCGGCATGCAATGTTTATGCGAACCGCCGCAGCTATGTAGCGCTGTGCACCGTCTAGTGTCCTGCGTAATGTATGCATTTGACGTATGTATATGTCGCCCGAGCGTGCGCGACCAGTGTTTGGTATACGTATGTATGCATTGCCTCAGAGCACACTCTGCGCCCCGCGCCCTTTGGTACCGGCTTTATGTTCGTTTAGGGTATGCTACATGTTTATGGGCCTGTAGATCCAGCGTTGTGCGTTGGTTGGGCCACGCTGCATCTCAGTGCGCGCTCACGAAGTTCGTGACGCGTCAGCCCCTCTCTGCGGTTATTACCGAGCCCCTACGTACTTGATTGACAGCACTGCTGCCAACTAATGATAGTTGTCGCCCTGCTATCGTTCTTTTGTTGATAGATGGGGAGTGGGGCTATTGCAACGCGTAATTGTCATGCGTCCGTAATGCGCCATTGTCACACGTAACGCATCAGCGGGACGCTCGCCAACGCGAACAAAGCACTTACAAAGATGACACGTTTGAGGTGATGCATTGCCTTGCTTACTCCTTTTTGTGCTAATTATTAGATAAGCCGGATGTGGATATCCGTAGCCGTGATTGCTTTATTGCGACATAGCGCGCCTCTGCTGCTTTATTTGGGCTCACATGAGCACTTAGAGTTGCACAACGTCGAAGGTTCTAGAACGACCCATCCCCAGTGTTCGGAGGCCGCCCGCCGGCACCGCCCAGCGGCCCCACCGTTTATAACGTGCCGTATACTGCGCAGAGTCAGTCAGTCAGACGGTCAGAGAGAGGCGGACGCGGCCCGATGACCAGGGTCGCGACGCTGTGCTGCGCGAGCGGACCACGACCGAATATAGTAACCTTTTCACGCCCGTTCTCTGATGGACGTTTGTGAGAAGAAGAATGCAAGTCACGAGAACGAAGCGTTACAGGGCTGAAAGTACAGCATGCCAGACCTGGCGACGTTGTGAAGGGCGCGTCTGAATTTGATCTGCAGGGAAAGGCGCATGTTTCTCTGAGGCCTGTCCTTGGGGCGAGCTAGAAGACATTGAATATCCGATGGCTGCTTACAGAGTTCGTAAAACAGTCTTCAATTGTTATGTAGAGCAGACTAATAAAAGCTAATAAAAGCTACCAATTTGCTACATGAAAATGAAAAAAATCTCTTTTCATCTTACAATTTTTCAACAATTTGCTTTATTAGTTTGCAACTGCAAACAGAATCAGCAATATTAAAAGCTGCTGGTACCTACCAATAACCTAATTTCCCTTGACATTGGGGTATGTCTTACCATCGTATTTATGTCTGTTGATGACTTCCTTGTACTACATTCACAGTTTGCAGCTTTTATCGCTCTTTGGTGTGCCGTCAGACTTATTTTTTGGTTGCGAATTTCTTAGCACCGCCAACCAGTTACCTGTCATCGGGACATAATGCGTATTTTCCCATCACACGAATGCTGTACGTGTGAAAGCGAATCGATGGCCCTTTTTCTGCTCCTGGTATTTGGTTTCATAAATGGGTACTCTGTCCTGCGCACACTGCATTATATACACATGCTTGTTTCTGCTTTATTACACCGCTGTTGGATCAGTTGCTCATGATCGTTTGTAAGCGCGCCTTTATTGCTCCACGCACAACACAACTATTTCTTCGTCAGTTTGTAGTCCAACACTGCGCCTTTGTTTACACCCACTTCTTGAACGTGCGAAGGCAAACAGTGAGTTCCTGAAAACGAAGGCACTCAGTTCGCTCCAGCTGTCGCGACAGATTTTTCAATCCTCAGATCTGGCTTATCTCGTTCCCCCACAACATTCCATCCACGTTAGGTTTTATCGCTACGTTGACATATAATTTGGATCTCTATCTGTGACTAATGATGGGTGACAGGTATGCAGGGCCGGTCAAAATGCATCCTTCATTTATACATTTTCCGGCGTCCCTCCTTGGTTTCAAGGTCGTGATCACAGCTCCCGGAGGAGTGAGCCGATCGCGCCCGGTCACCTGATACCGGCCCGTCGGCTTATGGCGAGCTGCCTTCGTGATTCGCTAGTGTTCAACTTCGATTTGCAGCTGATCTAGAGGAGATCCCATCGATTTGTTTTTAGTTTAAACAGCAATCAATTGGTCCTTAAATGCATACAGGTTTGAAGAGAATGGAATGTATCACATTTTTCAGAACTTAAGGTAAAATGTCAAGCTAGGTCACGACTAGCGCTTGGTTAACCTCGAATGTTACATTAACCCATGCTTGAGAAGAACAAAAATGGTAGTTCGCTTTACGATGCACTTTTTCCAAGCAGTATACTCCGCGACGAACTGCTTCTACAAGACCACGTTGAAAAATAGCTCGTGATGTCATCGCGATTTTATCTGCTTCTGGTTACTTGTCCGTACGGCGTATGGCTCTAAAACTTGCAGAATCCTGTTGTGGCCGATTAATTTATCCACAGACCTGCTCTAGTCAAATTTGAAGGCCGTGCCGGGTTAAAATGCACCTGACCCCGGTCGATTCGTCGAAAAATGATCCATGCACGTACGGGCGTGCGTGCGTGTGCCATGAAAGAATGGCAGCATATCTGAAATTGACTTGCTTTTTAAGTCATGATTCAATTCTCCGAATTAATCGCCCCCTATAATCGAAAAAGCTGTTGAGAAGAGTACCATATTCCTTTGTCACGCCCTTCGTGGAGGCGTCGGTTCGAAATTAGATTTTCTGCATTATCCTTGCTCTACAAAGGTGATTTGGCTTTATGAAAGACCCTGCTATCATGCACAGTCGTGGGACCACAGTATGCACCGCATATCAGTCTTCCGGTTTATTGCTGAATATTGTCCCGGATATAAACAGCTTTCGGTTTCACGGTTGGAAGAACTTAAGTAATGAGTTTTTTAAGGACAGCTTGTTATTCATAATTAGGCTCGATATTCTGGGACTTCTTTTTAGTAAACTGTAACCTATATGATGTCGGGACTTCCTAGGGAGCAGCGTTTTGATATGATGAGGCGAAAAGCTCCACAACAAGCGGGAATCTGTGCTTTATGATAGCATGAACAGCTTTCTTTTCAGTCTTGTGTGCAGTTGACATCCTACTCTGCTGATACAATTTGTAAGTTGTTTAGTGCATTAGCGAGGAACATTATTCACATAGACAAGACAGCAGCATTAGCCCTATTCCTCCGAGAAAAATCAGGAGATTGGAGATAAGTTGAATTGATATTTCGACAACATGCCTTTATCGAAACAAGAGCAGAAGTGAATTCAAAATTGCCTGCAAGCAAAATTACCTGGCAGGCAATTTTGAATTGTCTTCTGCTATTGCTTCGATAAAGGCATGTTGCCGAAATATCAACTCGACTACATCTCCATTCTCCTGGGGTTTCTCCGAGGAATAAGGCTGATACTACTGTCTCATCTTTGTAATACAATTTGATGTCAGTGCCTACCACTTCTCCACCTGGTCGTCCATTGTGTGAGTGGAAGTATCTGTGAAGCTGCCAACAGATCTGGTTGCATACATCAGCGAGCCTGTAGTTGTTGATGAGGATGGGTCTGATTCTGTTGAAGTCCTGATGCAGGAGGCCACTCAGGTGTCCGTACACATATTGAGGGCCGGTGATTTTTCACATAAAAAATAGTGTAAACAACAGGAGTTATAGGACGTGTTTCGTGTGTTCTGTGGAGCAACACGATTCCAGAAGTGGTAAGGTCTCACATCGCTTATCCGGTATTGACAGCATAAACATGCGTACCTGCATTCTTTCTTCAAACTTTGCGGGTCATGCCTTTACGATTACGATATTCAAGAAGAAGACAATGATATTACCTAAATATCCCCCAACTTTTTACCCGTGACGGAGGCCTAGTCTGACGGTCTGTCCGGTGGAACTCGATATGCGATTTGCTTGGTCCATCATTATACTCCTTTCGTTACGTTCATGATTAAACCATGGTTATGAAAAATCCGCTTGATCGATTTAATATAAGCACTTGTATGCACAGCAAGTTTTTCATCCGAAATTACGTAGCCACGCCACGAGACTTCATTTGCAGTTGAGTACCCCTGACCGCGTTTGACTGAATTTGGATCCCTCGCTAAGGTATTTTTCATGGATTTTTACTTCATGTCGAGCGCTCTCTCCACTCCACCCACCCGCTATCCATCAGGCGTACTGCGTCGTTCATCAACTGAACCCGTGCTCGTGGCGGTCACTCCACCCGCCCGTTATCGCGGACGGCCGCCGCTACGGAGAAACAGTCCTCCCGACCGTCGCCGCCGGCTGCTGGGCGGGCGTTCTGCCTTCGTCGGTGCTGGCAGTATACCTGCCCCTGCGCCCGACGCCGGGATGGTAATGAGGCGGTGCAGGCAGCTGATTGGTGCCGGCGGCGGTCGGGCGTGCCCGGGTCGGTGGGTCGCCCCAGTTGCCCCGGGGCCGCTCAGTGAGACGGTGGGACGCACCGGCCGCTGCCGTGTCCGGCGCCGACAGACTCTGAAAACGGACGGCGTCTCCCGCGCTGCAGTGGCTGATGCTCTCACGGCCGCCTTGGTCCGCACCAGCCGAGTCAGCCCAGATACCATATACCTGGTACCCGGGAGAGTGCACACGCTCCGCCTTTGCACACTTCTGAACGACTCTCAGATTGGAAGCGTCAGACAGATCGGTGTTGGTGACTCGTCACGGAACTGAAATTGGACGCCACGAAGTTGATTAATGTGGCGATCCCAGAAAACTTCCGCTATTCCGACTTCACAATGACGTTTCCCTGCACACTGCATCGACAACTACACTATAGATCTGCTATCCCTCGCTCACTCCACCGCTGAAGATCACTGGGACAACCTGCGCTGGCTTGCGGTCACGGCGTGAAGGGATATCTTCGACCCGTGACCTGGAGACGGGCGGCAGCGCGTCTGGACCGCTGACGCAGCCCACGGCTGACGAGGACGCAGCCCACAGCTGACGAGGACGCAGCGCACAGCTGACGAGGACGCCGTCTCCGAGCGCAAAGGGCCAGCGGCGAGCCGGGCCGGACGCGTTTCGGCGCTGAGAGGAGCTGTCCGTGCCGTGCGGCCCACAATGCGCCGGTGGCGGGTGTCAGCCTGCCTGCTGGCGCTGCTGTACGGGGTCGGCGGCGTGCCGCGGCCGGCCCCAGCGCCGCTCCACCGACAGACGGCCGCCGCCGTGCGCCGCCTGCTGCTGGTCGGCCGCGGCCAGCACCCGCTGCGCCTGCTCAACTGCGGAGCCGGCCTGCTCGACCTGGACCGCCTGCTGGCCGCGCTGCCCCGCAGCCACGCCGTCGAGCTGACCGACTGCGGCGCGTGCACCGGCGGCCTGATCGCGCGCCACCTGTACGAGGGCCGGCCGGGGCCTCGTCTGCTGCTGCTGCAGGAGGACCGCTGCCTCAACGGCTCGGACACGGCGCCGGCCGGCCGCTGGAGCGTTGGCCAGGTACTGCACGTGGCCCCGAGCTGCGCGCTCTCGCTGCGACACGCCCTGTTCGCCAAGGTGGGCCACCCGGTGTGCCTGGAGCCGGAGGGAGACCGTCTGATGGTGGTGCAGCTGCAGCAGGGCCGGACCGTCCGCCGCTCTGGACTGAGAGGTCTCGACTGGCTGCGGCCCAGAGACGATCTCAACAATGTCACACTCACCGTCGTCTACGAGAACTACAGCCCATTCTTCGAGTGCGAGGAGGAAATCAAGGGAACATGCGTACGAACCGCATACACAGCTCCCGCTGTGCTGTTGGCGGAGCTAGCACAGCGGCTGGGTTTCCACACGAGGTACGTTCATAATCCGGATGGCAGCTGGGGGCACGTGGAGGCGGGACAGTGGCGCGGCATGGTGGGTGAAGTGGTCGCTGGCCGCGCCGACTTAGCTGTCGGTGGTATATTCATCAACGCGCAGCGCTCGGCAGTCGTGGACTTCTGCCGACCGCTCACACTTGTCTACCTGGACATCGTCACGCGGCCGCGGCCGGTCGGCCTGCGGAGCAGCTTTGCCAATCTGCTGTCGCCGACTGTCCTGGCGCTGATCATGGTCAGTCTGCTGGCCAGCACGCTGGCGCTGCTGCTGGTCAGGCTGGCCGCTGGCCGGCCGCCATTACGCCGCCTACCGGAGGTGGTCTGGCGACAACTGGACAACTGCTACCGCGCGCTGGTGTCGCAGGACCTGCCGGCGAGTCGCGTCCGTCTGCTACGTAATAGCGGCGCCGGCACCATGCTGCTGGGCATCTGGCTCATGTCGGGTATTATCCACCGCACGGCCTACACGTCCAACATGATCTCGGCGCTGTCGGCACCGCCGGCCACCTGGGCGCCCGACTCGCTCGCCGACCTCGTGCGCCACGAGTACCGCGTGGTCACGCACACCGGCTACGGCGCCTACGCCGACTGGCTGCACGCGCAGAACAGCTCGCTGTTCCAGGCGCTGAAACGGCGCTGGGTGCTCGCCGACCACGTGGCCACGTTCCGGCAGCTGGTGGGCTCCGAGGAGAAGATCGCCCTGCTGGAGGAGACGCCGTCCGTCATGACGCTCCTCTACGACGCCATCGCTGAGTCGGAAGGGGCCGTCACTGAGGCGAGTGTCCACCGCGGACGCCAGCAGTTCCTTCCCTCCAGCGTGGGCTGGGCCATGCAGCCGAACACGCCGTACGCCGGGCGGCTGAACGAGATCCTGCGCTGGGCGCAGTCCAGCGGCCTGGCCAGCCGGCTGCTGGAGCTGGGCGCGGCGGACCGGCGCTGGAATGCCCAGCGCCACGTGCGAGCCCGCTGCCGGCGGCTGCCGGCCATCTGCCGCAGCCGGTCCGTCGTCGTGCTGAGTCTGACGCACCTGCGCTCCTCGTTCCTGCTGCTGCTGTACGGCTTCTCGGCTGCCAGCTGCGTGCTGGTGCTGGAGCTGGTGCTATCCTGGCGGACCCGGCGCGGCACCCAGCGTTAGCCACAGGCTCGCAAGTCAGGTAGTTGGTCGCGTTCGCTAACACATGTCGATGGTCATGTTCACGGGCCAGCCGGTGCTGATGACGATTGATGATTGGCGATTTCCGGCCTAGCAGCAGACGCACCAATGTTCCAGTCGATATCGCGTCTTCTGCGTACACTAAGCACTGCCGAGAAGACGCAGGTGGACAGACACTGGGACGCGTCGGGGGGCTGATTATCGCAGTCCATGGTGGCGGTATGTCTCTTCGTAACTCGCAATGCATTGCACGGTATTACACGCTCGTGCCTGATTCTATGTGGGGTTAGAATCCGTGGCGCATTCAGCCAACTTTTGCTCCAGTTGAAAGGAAGCCGATTCCTTTGCGAATACAACCGAGCGAAACGCACGCTGAGTCATCCATGTAAGCTAAATTTATCGATGAACTGACTTACAGAAAGATCATAGCCCGGAACGATATAAGGCGTTGCTCTGATAGCCCAACTGAGTTCCCAGTTGGGAGATGAATTCTGAATATATCTCCAGCTGCTTCCGCCCCAGCTCAGTGGTCAGAACGCCTGTCACGACGGCAGGAGACCGGGGTCTTCCTCTCCGCGGAACTCTGGTCTTTTCGTGCTTACAATATGGACGATGCAACGTGCTCTGCATTGCAACGCGCTGCAACATTACAGCTCAAGCGCTGTTACCGCAGCTAGAGTGCGAAGAGGAACACAACATAAGCTGAACTGTCTCGAAAAGGGAACACTATTCGCATTTTTAGGATTACCGTATTATTGCACATGTTTAAAGGTATCTTCCAACGTTGAAGCTGAATTATTGTTATGACTCAGCGCTCTTGAATGCATTTAACATTTGGCGTCGTACATAACTGCATGAAGCTCCCTACAGCCACTTGAATCGATGCACATACCACTGAGGCATTGCAAAATGTATGTTAGCGTCTCACGCAGACCATTGCCTTAAGTGACTATAAGTTACTGACTAGCCCACAGTAGACGATATAAACATATTCAGACGTGTATGCTTGTTTGTGTCGGAACCGAAGCTGAGCACGGCGTGTCCCAATCTCAGAGCGGGCGGTGTCTGGAGGAGTAGTTCTTGGAAAGTGTTGAATAAATTCATGGAGTCATCTGGGCTGTGAGATTGGTGCTTATACTGTTGGGTGCAATGGCGATCACATTTATCGTGTTTTACTGAACAAATATCCGCCACAGATCTCCCCCTGCAGGACACAATTCACCCCGCTGTTGTCTCAACAAATGCCGTGTGGGCACATCGCAAGCGTCGCCTGACAACGGGGTATCAAACCGCTCCAAGTGTCGCCTGACAAGGGAGAGATCAAACCGCTCAGAGTGTCGCCTGACAAGGAAGAGATCAAACCGCTCCAAGTTACTTTGCTATCATTTCACCTCGATGTAGATCGCGTTTGCCTTTCCAAGCACATCGGCTACAGAGGCCATTTTAAGCTCCGAACGCACTCTACTTGTCGGACAAGCTGCGAGCGACCCCCCCCCCCCCCCCCCCTCCCCGACACCCCGCACAAGTGTTGAGCATGTGCGCTGAAGCACCGGTTTTTGGAGCGATGACGGAGTGGTACCGTCGCCAGCAGAGTGTGGCACGTGTGCACCGTATGCATGACCGACGCGGAGACGAGCCCGCGCCGCACCCTCGCTGTGTAACTTCCCAAATGATGACGTCCAGATACCTTGTGATGGTGCTATAGCTTTCAGCTTGTTTTGACGGTGCTCGTCGCACCATTTGGCTCGGCACTTCACAGCTATGTACTTGGCAGTCGTATACTTATTCGCTTAAACACACGCGCCACTTGTGGGAATTCTCAAAGGTGGTCTGACGACGATGGTACGACTGAGGTCTGCCGGAGGTGGTCTGGAGAAAAACTGGACGACTGCTACCGCGCGCTGGTGTCGCAGGACCTGCCGACGAGTCGCGTCCGTCTGTTGTGTCCCAGCGCCGTCGGCACCATGCTGCCCGGCACCTGGTTCATGTCGGGCTGTTGCGAGCATTGTCACACACGTGCCACTCGCGTTCCCCGTGAGCAAGCGGTAGGCGCCCGATGTCGCCCATCATGACGGTGGATAGAGCCATGCTAACAGTGCCGCCCTGCAGGGGCGGTATTAACTTGCGCGAATCGATGTGAGCGCGCGAAGTGTGCACTCGTACTTTAAAAGAGCGGCCGAACTCGTACTCGTGCTTTAAAAGAGCGTCAGAACACACAGCTTGCTGAAAGCCAGGCCATCTATCCACGACCGCCGCATGCATAGATGTTTAAAGGCGGTGGCTCGCCTCCACAGCATGTTTCAAACACATACTCCTGTAAACCCTTACCACTTGCAATTAAATAAATAGCCCTGCGAGTGCAACTGCATTAACATGCCCGTATGAGCAAATCGATGTCATTCATTTGCCAGTCCGAACATTTCAGGACAGCACTGAACTTCTTTCTTCTTTAAGTACCCCAGATGCCATGCATGGGAGTGCTTGGCTCGCGTACGCCAGTGCATGACCGCTTTTGGCTCACGGAGAGCAGGGTTCGCCACAATGAAATTCACGGTCGTTTGGGGTGTTTTCATATTTTATACACAGCACGTAAATTACGAAGGAAGGCTTCCAACATGCCAATACCACCTCGTTCAGGATGTAATGGCTGGTTTTCTCAAAATATGACATCGTCCGTCCCGGTGACTCAGTTGGTTAGAGCGCCTGTCTTCCGGTCCACCCACCCGTGGCGGGGTGGATTCGAGTCGCTTTAAGCGCTCGCTATTTGCTCTCGACAGGTATGGCCTGCGACCGGTGGCAGCGGTCGCGCTGAAGGTCAGTTGACATCAGAGGGCAGGACGGACCGTGCCGAGCATTGCGGCATGTTAAGCTTTCGCCCCCAAATTCTGCCGTTGACATGGAATTGCGCCATCGGGTGGTGGGGGTCAGGGCTCACACAACAAGCACTGATTAGCGTGAGTTCTGATCCCTCAAATCCAGCCATTCAAAGGGTCCGGATCAAATCTTTAAAAAATAAAAATAAAATAGGGCAACTCTATGCGAGATCCACTCACCTCGCGCCTCAAAGTTTATACCGTCAAACCACAACTATGCCTCAAAATTGTTGTATACGTTTCCCCTTAGTGCAGCCAGCTGCAGCGTAGGGTTGCAGTGATACGCGCAAACACACCCGCAGTGGGTTCCGCTCCTGCCTGCTAGCACGTAGTGTCTGGGATGCGGTTTCGCAGACGTGGAGAAATATATACGTGGATTAGACGGATCCTTCTAAGACCTCCCGCAAGCTGCCAGCATCAGACGTGTTTGACTCCCTACCATCAATTCCTCGCTATTTCGAAATGGCACTTGGTCTCGCGCATCAGAGCAGACACGACTGATCTGTCCTGTTCAAAGGAAGCACTAACGTTCCACTTTGTCTCCCCGCTGATCACCACACCTCTGCCACCACAGGAACCGTGGGGAGGATGTCGTGCATTTGTCTGAGCTCGTTTCTAGTTTTCCTCACGAAGGAAGAAGCTACAAAAAAAACTCGACAGTTTCACGATCGGCATAGTGGAAAAACTGTACGAGTGGACAGCCTCCTGCCATAACTTGACGCGTCTTGAAATGCCCGCTGCAGGTCTGGCGTCTGTGTTTTAAGCCTGGAATTAAGCACGATATATTTAGCGAAGCTTTTAAAAAAATTTGAGCCCACAGCCAGTCACAGCGGTGTAACCTATTAACAAATTACAGGAGAACACAGCGGTGAATGAAAGTGAGGATAAAATGCTTGTCAAATTATTGAAAAATTGTCATTAGGCTATGTCAATCAGTAAAACGAAATCGCAATCGCAACCCAAGCGTCTCACCTTTCGCTTTTGTGAAGATTAAAGAGTCGGATCAAGCTAAGAAGCAGTTCTCTCATTGCCATGCATATGCGGAAGCGAATCCGAAACCACCGTGCGTTGGTACCCGAAGATGAGTGATGTACTTCACTGTCGCGTGACTGCAGAGAAGAACATTTGACAGCTAATGTACATGAATCGATATATTTGATATAATTTGCGTTTAAAAGTAATTACCTACAAGCACCCTGCGCCGGAAAAAATATCAGAATTTGCGTATTAGCAGTACATCTCAGTGGTCCTATGTGTGTGGTGTGAGTGCGTGTCAAGTTTAACATCACAAACTCCCAACTCGCCAAGGGTATTCAAATTTTGCTTACATTATTCGTCTCTTCACCACAACCACCCATTTACTCAATCCAAGGGTCGTGTGTTGTCATTACTCACTGAGCTTATCACTCAAGTAGCCTGCAGCTAAAAGTGCTAACATCGGTGAGCTTTAATTCAGGCATTCCGTAATAACATACTCGATTTAAGATCTAGGGGGATAACTATTGCTCACTGCTTTCATGAACTGATCACCAAAAACAACGAAAGCCTATATTGAAGGCACACCATAATTCATTTCGGAGCCATTGAAAATCATCCCGAGACCTTTGGCATAAGGTCAAGGGGTACTTTGGGGGTAATCGTAACCCAGAGACACAAAACCGGGATTTGCATCTGTTGCTTCATGAGGTGTCAGAAAACGTACCGTTTGATCGGCTTACTGCTTTTGGTGGTGAGCACAAACACTGGAAACAAGCCATGTCGCAACCAGCCTCCAACACGCCTCAGGCTCGAACTTCTGACCTCGTGACCTACTCGAAATGAAATTATCGGATTCGATTTGAGTGTCACAGGAAATCCCATAACGATAGCAAGGACCGCGGTGTCTGGGATCTGTAAGTGGCAAGAGATGGGCCGTTTTTCAGCGCTGCGCGGCGCGTTGGAGAAATGACTCTTCTCCACCAGACGTCACATAAATCCTTTCCATTTCTTT